GGCGGCCACGGGCCCGGCGGGAGGGACCGCCCCGCCGAGGGGACCGCACCGCGGATGGGACCGCACCGCCTTAGCCCCGGCCGCGGCCCCCCGCGCCTGGCGTTACAGTTATTTCGGGTGTCGCAAAGAGGCTCCGTGAGACCCCCCCGCAGCGCTGCCGCCAGCCCCGCGGCCCCCGCACAGGAAGGACACGGAGCTGTTGGAGCGGGGCCAGGGGAGGCCACGGAGATGGTGGGAGGGGGGGCTGAGAGAGTTGGGGGGTTCAGCCTGGAGAAGAGAAGGCTCCGGGGAGACCTTAGAGCCCCTTCCAGTCCCTAAAGGGGCTCCAGGAGAGATGGGGAGGGACTCTGGATCAGGGAGGGGAGCCATGGGACAAGGGGGAAGGGTTTGACACTGAAATAGAGGGGATTTAGATTAAGTATTAGGAAGAAAATCTTTACTGGGAGGATGGTGAGAGCCTGGCCCAGGTTGCCCAGAGAAGCTGTGGCTGCCCCATCCCTGGAGGGGTTCAAGGCCAGGCTGGAGGGGGCTTGGGGCAACCTGGTCTGGTGGGAGGTGTCCCCTGGTCTAGTTGTTACTGGGTGGTCTTTAAGGTCCCTTCCAACCCAAACCATTCTATGTGTAAAGAGTCTCTTCACTCATATTTCTGCTTCATTAGCCCAAAAATAGGAACTTACCTTTTGCAGCATTCTCTAACACCCACTGCACCCCTGCACCACGCTCACTCCTGTCTCGCACACGCTGCCGGGTGGGAGCAGAGCCCTTAATGTACCTTCAGAGCTGCTCTGTTCTGTGAAAAACTCCAGCAGACTAATGGCTTCCTAAGCTTTGGACAGCTCTCTTGCAAAACTACTTTTTCTGCAAGTGACACATATACTGAAATTATCAACAATGAAACATCATTACATATCAGACAAGAAAAGTGTGGCTATGGCTTAAAATCCATATCATTTTTAATTCAAAGATTACCTGCATTGTTAAACTAAGCAATTATAACACATCCAACAGATTGCAATGCGCCATTCATCTAGAAAGCTGTTCCCGTAAAAAGATCAATGTATATACAGAGCTGAAATACATATTTAGCTGTTGTTGCAGAACACCCTTTAACAGTCACAGCCAGGTGAACGTGGTTATTCCCCATTTGTGGATACACAAATCGGTGTTCTCTAAAATGAAATAGAAGTTCCTGTATTTTTCTAGAATGAAGTGTATGCACTGGGACAAGGAACTGCCCTGACTGGAAGTGATGAAGGGGTGAGCAGTATTTATCCTACAGGGCTTTTAATTCTTCCTTGCATTACTGTTTCACGTCAGTACTTGGTGACTTGACCTTCTGTTGCACAACAAGCACTTAAACCAAAAAACGTTAATTCCGTTTCCTTCCCGCCTCACGTAGCGGCCACTGGCACGGCAACACGGACAGCCAGGGGAAACGTCGATCCAGGCACTAGGAGCAGCTTATCTTCTGAATGAAACAGTACGAGCACAAACACAGAAGTACACAGAAAGGATTCACTAATCACCTCTCTTGCAAGATGCAACCAATGAACTAAAATATAGAGTGGCAGCAGTTATTTTTAGAAATTATTGTATGTTCTGGACTTGCAGAGAGGAAGAAAATACTGGAACAAACACTTGAAATTACAACCAGTTTTCAAATGTTCTACAAGTAGATCATCCTCTGAGGAAAGTCAGTGACTAGATGCCGTAATGCTGAGATGCTCCCACTTCATCTCTGGGGCTGTAGTTCCAGAAAAGTAGGATTTTCTCTGGATTTATTTCTTCAACCACAAAATCTTGCTAACATACCTTCCCTTATTCTGCGAGGCTTAACAGATAAACAAGATGCAGTGGGCCTACCACGTGGAGATTTTCAAAAAGCCTTTGATGAGGTTCCACACCTAAGGTGGTGGAAAAAGAGAGTTGTCGCAGGACTGGAGGATTTATGGATCTGCTAAAAGGTTACAGGATACAAAAGTTATGGCTGTTGAAAAGGCAGGAAGGAAAGAGCACGGCATAATGGTCATTTTTCAGAGTAGAGACCAGTCAGCAGTAGGGATCAGGGCTTCTGTCCAATAACTTAACGGATGATCTGGAGGAGAGAGTGCCCACAGAGTGAAGGCAAAGCTAAACTTCTCCAGTTAAGTTACATGACACACAGGAGGCAAATAAAGCCAGAAGGAGCTCATTAAAAGCTAGCAAATGAGCTTCTACATGGATAAACCCAAGGCAATACATTTAGGGAAAAATAACCAGCCATACGCGGTGCTGCACCCCCATCCAGCAGCTGTCAGCAAAGGGACTGGGGAGTCATCCTGATGGGTCTCTGAAATCATCTGCTTAGTGTGCAGGGGCAGCCAAAAAAAAGAAGCAAACAGATGGTGGGCATCATCTAGGGAGGTACAGAGAATAAAATAGGAAAGTATCATTTTGGCATATTTAAAACCTTGGCCCACTCCTCTTCAGCACAGTGCATGGCTCTGGCCTCCAGTTGTCCAGAAGAATGTAGTGAAGTTAGAGAAGATGCAGAAGAGGTCAACCAAAATGACCAAGGCAGTGGAGCACCTAACTTACATGAGAAATGGGAAGAGATGGGAACTCAGCTTGGAGGCTGAGGAGGATACGATCAAGAATCATAAAAGCAACTCAGTATTGCACTAGATTCTGCCATATAAGAATCAGTGGCACTCACTGAATAAGTAAGGGGCAGTTTAAGAGTGGTAAATCTGTAATCTCTCGCCACAGGTGCTCATGGAGGCAGATTGCTCCAGGAAATTCAAAAGAGAGAAGAAAAATTAATGGCAATATGAATGAATACTGGGACAAACTCTTTAACATCCTTAATCCGATTACAGCTGCTGCTGCAAAGCACGAGGAATGCAAACAGCAGATACTGACCAGGCTTATGTGCTCTTCCCAAATAACGCCTCTTACTGCCACTGTCAGAGAGACAATCCAAGGTGGTGGTTTTTCTGCCCTCGTGTTCCTTTTGTGTGTTCTAAGGCAAAAGATGCTGAAGTTGCAGAGCTGTTATTACAGTGCTCTGTCCAGGGTAAAACTACAAAGCAAGTAATTGTTTTTGTGGTTTCTTTTTTTGACTATTAAGGCACACTTTGTCATCTCGCTCATTTTCCATTGTCCTGTGCAAAAACACAGTCAGCACTATTACATTTACAGTTATCAAAAAAGCATAACACAAGCCAGTTGGCCACAAAACAGGGTTTTTTTAAAGAATAGATATGCAAATCAGTGTCACCCTGATGATTCTGAGCAATTCTAAACCAAGCAGATATTAACAATGTTATAGGAAATAATTGCTGAGCCTGTTTTTCAGTCCTTCCTTTTAGTAGAAAACCAATTTATCTTCTTTTTTTCCCTTTTTACCGACTGCATGCTGGGCTAAACCCATAGTTCATCCAATATCCAAATGTTCAGCCAGTATGGCTTCCATCAGAAGAGAGCATTTTTTTACATTTACTGATGATTTTAAGTAGTCAAAAGACATGAATCAGACTTCAAATATTAGAAAGAATGCCCTAAAGTACTGCAGACTTCAATTTATTTTATTTGCCTTCTGTTTTCTGAGTCTGTTTGGCATGTTTTGACCCTATTTCCTCAAGAAACATGAAGTCCACAAACTGAAGGGTTCTGTTTGTGTTAGGGAAAACGGAAAATGTCATTACTTTCAGCCAGGAGTTGAGGCCTTAAAAAAACTACCAGATGAGGCAAAATATATGACAAAATTGGAAGTGTTGGTAATACTGGAATAGAAACAGCATACGGAACATGGTGGAGTCTCGAGCTCAGAATTCTGGGCAGAAGTTTCATAACTAATAGAAGTTATCAGATATTGTTTTCAATCCATTCCTTCATGCAGAGAAAGCAACCTGTGGCACGGGAGCTGGAATCCAGATGGCCTCTGAATTTTGTAGCTCTGATCCAAATTTGTTTCCAGCATGATACTGGGAGACAGAAGGAAAGAGAAATAGTTGAGGTCACTTGTGAAGGCCAACGGTTTGGAGGATCCTCTCGTTTGTTAGAGGAGATAGGTTCTAGCACTCCTTGTTTGAACGTGGTTCAGTGTTTTACACGAGTTTTCAGACAATCTAAGGCACTTTGGTTTTACCTCCCTTGTCAGAGACTCGGGTTTAGTGTCGTGCTGGATGTTTTCATAACTTCCCACATCTGCTCAGAGGGTTATCACTTTTCAGTAGCAGTGGTGGGGTGATGAAATTCCTTTCCCTCCTCTTCCACAGGAACCATCACATCATTCCCTGGAAAAGACTCTGTTTCCTGCTCCGGATAGTGCACTGCCAGCTCCTCTTCCGTGTTTTCCTGGGCATCAACACTATTTTCACATCCTCTAACAGCACAGTTCTTCCCACTAAGCACCTCTGGAATGTACCCCACAATAACCGTGTCGGCGTTCGTGATGTATATTTTTTCTGAGGAAGGAAAAAAATAGTGCTAAGCATAGTTAACAATCATTGCTGACCCCAGAGACGGCTCCTTTTCATGCAAAATTCTTATTTGGGACTCAGTTTTTCTTCCTTTTCCCCCCTTTGTTCTTTTTAAAATCAGAGGCACGCAGATCACACCCATCACTGTGAAAACACAGAATTCACTAACCCACTAAAGCTTTTGGAATTCACAGATTTTAAGTTGTGTGTTTCATTGTTTATTTATAAGGTGCTTGTAATTTTGAAATCAAAGCCCTGGACATACTGAGCGATAAAGAAGGCCTGCACATTTTTTATTGTACTGTCTGGTTTTGGAACACTGTCAAGGGGACTCTGAGCTTTTTTAGATCAAGTAAATCTAGTTCCCATGTGATGAAGTCACTGTGTTACAGCTGGGACTACAGGAGAAAGACAAATTAGAAAATGCAGTAAGATATTTGCAAGAATCTGTCAAAAGAAGCAATTAACTGGGAATTGGAGAAGATAGATACAGAGAATCCAAGGTTCATGCTCCTGCTGTTTCAAGAAGCAGCAACACCTGCATTAAAAGTAGCCTTTGAGCAAGGATCAGCACTGTATGGAAATTCTAGGTAATTGTTCAGGGTCTTAGCACCAGCAAAGAAATTGGTTTCTTTCCAGCAGAGATCAACTACAAAATTTTCTGGGATAGACTTGAACCTTGTGCCCAACTTGTTGACCCTACTCCTTTACAAAAGGTAAATAAGGCCTTTGCTGTGGCTTAGGCCACTACATTTTATTCAGAAGATGCTGCAGATCAGATGCTGTAGGTTATTGTTCACAATTATTGGAGATGTTTGGGTACAGCAAGTCAAATCATCACATTCATTCCAAGCCCATCACCCACAGAAAAAAAAGAAAGGGCATTAAGTAAGGAAAGGTCAGCTCTAGTAATATCAAAAAGCCACCTTCAAATGCCATCAAAATTGGATTTGGAAACGTTGCCAAAATGTCTCATGTAGACTGTGTCTCAGGTAACAACTCTCTTCCTGCGAGCAAGCTGCCTTCCCTGACTATCTCCTGCACTGTGCCACGGTCAGACTTCATGGGCACATACGGGAGACATGCTCCAAGTGTTACTGTGATACCAAGGGAGGAAAATGAGAGCTTGAGGCATACAAAGTACAACTCTCATCAAGTATTAGAGCATCGTTTTCCAAGTGATATATTTTGGATTTCAAATTTCTTCTGCAAATTTACATCTTCTGGAGTGAGAAAGAGGAAGAAGAGCAAAGCATTTTTCTGTCTGCTTCATAAGTGACTAAGGCAAATGTGAAAATAAGAAAGCATTATATTCAAATGAATTGATAGACCAGAATTGGTGTGTCAAAGGTTCTGGAGATGCAGCCCCCATCTTTGTTAGAAGCTTTGGACACTTTGCAGCTTACTAATAACCTCAGAATGACACTATGTGCTCATGGTTGCAAAACTGAAAAGGTAAGAGGAAAAGAAAATAAAAGCAAGACTCACCAATTCGATTATTTGTGTGGTCTCTCACTCGAGAATCGGTGGGGCAATCGGCAGGGGTGTTTCCATTGCTCTGGGTCACATCCGTCAGACTCAGCTCAGGACTATATGATTTTTCTGTACTGGAGACCAAGTTATTGTTGGTTTCCAAAGGGAGGGTCCTGTCAATTAATTCCTTCTCTTCCAGCCCACTGTCAGTAGTCAGGACGATCTTATGCCAGTACAAAGAGAAAAGTGAGGTGAATGTAAAGGCAACACTGTGAAGATCACAGTAGGTCTACAGAAACCTCCTGCTGCAGTCAGAGTAACATCGTGTACTTCAGAGCACCACTGTCACAGGGAGTAAAAAATTCCAGAGTGCCAAACTGATACAGGAACTTAAGTTTCTTTGAACTAGGTTCCTGCATCACTGAAGGCCATATTTAAAAATAGTGTTTCTAAGCTAAATTAACAGATTTTCCATGACATTTGCAAGAATGTACCTCACTTCCACTGAAATCCAGTTTCCTGGATGCTTTGGTAAATTCCCCTGCCTTGTCTGTGATACAGATGCCAATGAACCTTTGTAAATCCACCTGTTTGTTATTTTGACTTTTTGCCACAAATCTTAGACTGTAAGCTCTGCTGCAGAGTCTGCTGTCCCATAGTACAGCTGCATTCTGGGGGGCTGAAGCTCAGTAGCACTTTTCATCAAAGAGTATAACATCAACAAGCAAGATAGATGCTGGAAGTAAGAATTTCCAGGGATTTGCTCAGAAAGAAGTTTAAGACGGTATTTTTCAACTTTAATTGTGAGATAAGTATCAGAGGACAAACCCGTACAGATGTGTAGTCATATAGTGAGTGTATCAGACAAAACTGAAAATACCTGGTTTAACTTCCTCTTACATTTTGCAAAGAACTACCACACTCCTATGGAACAACAAAACAAGTCTGAGGTTGAGCTGGTTGTACTTCAAAATGGAATTGCCCCAGCAGAACCTCAGGTAGGAGAAGCAAGCTCAGAGTAGCTATTATGTGAAGAATTAATTACAGACAGTCTTTTAAAAGAGGAGCCAGAATCAGAGAGAGGCTAAAGTTCCTGCATCACAAATTTCTGATGGTTCCGAGCTCTGTTTCTGTCTCCACGTGGTTGGAGAAGAGCAAAAAAACCACCCACAAAACAAAACATAGTAAGATTTTGAAATTTGCAGTTTAAAACTCTTGCTCCTGTCTGACTTGCTATGAAAGCAAGAGTCCAAATAAAAAGGCTGGCACTCTTTAACAGGACATTCAAAAAATATCATTATTTACATTGGGATGGAAAGTGAATTGGAATCAAAAATATAATTATTTACATTGGGATGGGAATATTGTTCCCACTTACCGCACATTTGTTCACTCGATCAGAACCTGCAGTGGAATAAGGAAAAATTATCAAAAGAAAATTCACAGCAATCACAAGAACATTAATATTTGCTCTGAAATATCAACATAGCCATGTCCTAAACTGCTGTACTGCCCAAACCACCTGCATTCTGCTTGCTTTCCCACTGAGGGCACTGACCACATGGCTGAGGTGAACCAGCAACACGTCCCTGCCAGGACTGTGAGGTCCTGCTCCCCCCAAAGCCCATTGTGGCCACCCCAATCACTCTCCCCACACCACAACTGGTGTTCATCTGGTGTTCATCTCAGGAAATGATGGCCTGATTAAACTGTCTAGATACGCGGAAGACAGGCTTATTAAAAAAAAAAAAAAAAAAAAAAAAAGAAAAAAAAAATTTAAAAAATTTTTTCCTAAATAAAAAAGTTTTTC